AAAATATACTAATATACAGCAGATTTTTGAATATATTTTTTTGGGAATTATTAACAAAGGTGTATGAAATATGTTGAATGTATTTATAATCACATTTAAAACGTACAGTTTTTAAAAAATGACATTAAACATCGCTATTCATGGCGACGATTTTTGTATTGTTTTATCAACGTAAATCATGAAAATAGTTGTGAAATCCACCGATATCCGCGATCTACCTGGTATTATCATAAACTAGAATATATTTTTAATTCATTTTAATTGAAATCAGTTGCCCCAAGCTGCCCCTGCAGTTTTGGTATCACTTTTTATTTCACTAAGCGCGGTTTACCGACAGCGCGTTGCACCGGCCGGCGGTGCAACTGAACGTGAAAGACTGACTTTTTCTTCATTCGCATTCGCTTTAAACTAAAATTTAAGCACTGTCTGTAATTTAAAAAAAATAAGCTCTAACACATTTACGCAATTTTATAATACCAGCAAATATTTTGGATCCGCCATATTGAATTTGATAAAACAAATGTAAAATTTGATTTCAGAAACCCAGTAAACGTAAGTATACCAATTTTGATTGAAATCGTATCATTTTTCGATTTTCAGCAAAGTTTTTTAAAATCTAAACGGCCATTTTGGATCCGCCATTTTGAATTTGACACAACCAATGTAAAATTTGAATTCAGAAACCCAAAAAACATGGATATACCAATTTTGATTGAAATCGTATCATTTTTCGATTTTCAGCAAAGTTTTTTAAAATCTAAACGGCCATTTTGTATCCGCCATTTTGAATTTGACACAACCAATGTAAAATTTGAATTCAGAAGCCCAAAAAACATGGATATACCAATTTTGATTGAAATCGTATCATTTTTCGATTTTCAGCAAAGTTTTTTAAAATCTAAACGGCCATTTTGGATCCGCCATTTTGAATTTGACACAACCAATGTAAAATTTGAATTCAGAAACCCAAAAAACATGGATATACCAATTTTGATTGAAATCGTATCATTTTTCGATTTTCAGCAAAGTTTTTTAAAATCTAAACGGCCATTTTGGATCCGCCATTTTGAATTTGACACAACCAATGTAAAATTTGAATTCAGAAACCCAAAAAACATGGATATACCACACGGAGAAACTTTTCATATCACTATTTGATAAAAGTGGTCTCACATTTTAATATGTTATGGTTTCACTTTATGGAAAAACGACTAAACTTATAGAAATTGATATTGTACCTAACAAATACATACTATTAATATATATTTTAAAATAGTTCATAAAACATTTACACTTTTTGAAAACGAAATATTAGAACATTTACATCTTATGCTTTTAATTTATACACGGCTCTAAGTAACAGAAATTGGTATGTTCTTTTAGAAAAAACAGAATATTTTTTACAAAACTAAGAAAGCCATAAATTGTGAAAAAAATAGAAGAGAAACTGACAGTAGACTCATGAACACTTGCAAGACACAAATCGTATTAGAAATTGAAGGTAGGTGGCATTAGTGTATGACGATAGTAAACATAACTACATGTAACATACGTAAAGACATTAAAAACCTGAAGAACACATGTAAATGTAAACGCAATAATATGTATAATAACGCACGCAATGTACAAACATTAATGTCGAAAGTAGACGAGGTCAACCGATGTATCGCACTTTACAATTCGTTAAAATCCTTCAGCTTGACTGTTCTTATATATTAAAAGAAATGTAGAAAATTGCACTTTCGAGAAAGTTTATTTTTTAAAATAACTTTAAAAAGAAAGTGGATTTTGAATTAAAAATTATGAAAAACATTAAATTACATGAAAGGTCAATTATTATATATAAGTAATCAATAAATATATAAATAAATGTATATAATTAAGATATAAACAAAAAGTTACATATTTTATACTTGTTAACAATAATTAATAATTAATAATGTTTTCAGTAGAAAGTAATGTAACTGATATTAACAAAATTAAAATTTTTTTTAGAATATTTAATAATACAAAAAGATATTTTTTTAAAATATTTTCAGGTTAAATTAATAAAAAAAATTATTGAATAATATAAATAAATATAATAATTTAAATTATAAAATTAATTAATATTCTTAAAAAATTTTACAAATTGTATTATGAAAACCAAATTATACGTGAAAAATCTTTGTTATACAGGATTATTAAATATAAAAATTTTTTAATATTTATTTTTTTATTTTTTTAAAAAGTACATTTAATCTTATTTTATTAACATACGAAAATAATTAAATTTCTTTTAAAAAGTTATTTTTTAAGAAACTATATGACTTTCTTAAATTTTTAAACATTGAATACAAACATGTGATAAACACAATTGAACATATTTTTTTATTTTTATATTATATATATTTTAGATTTACTTTCAGTTACAAATAGTATCACATCCAATTTTTAGATATGTACAAACTTCCATCACTCAATTTATTTATATAAGAAATAATGGAGGATTGCAAATCCTTCATTGATAAAATTTCCCAGAAAAAACAGTTTTGATCATATATTTTAACGGCTCGTAGTCGTTCGTTTAAATAACAATCAGTTAAAGATTTAGTAACGATAAAGAAATCGTCGTCACCATTTAAAATAATCAAATAAACTAAATAATACTCTGAGCCTAATTCAGAAAATGTAACAATGACACTATCTTCTTTAATCTTTTTTCCCTTATACTGAATCGAGTTGGTTAAAGAGATACTTTTTCCTACGAAACTACTTGGAAGTAAATGGACAAAATTCGAAGCATTTGGTAAATTTTTTAACGACGACATTTTAATTCGATTACAAAAATATGTAGGATATGAAGAACTTTTAGAGATTAATCTGTAGTTAAATATTAGTTGATGTCTTAAAGCAATAGTCTTGCAAACATTTACTCTACAAATGGCCGAACGTGAGATTTTTTTCCCTTCTTGATGCTTACTTTCAAATCGCATGCAACAAACATTCCATAAGGGTCCAATTTTTTTCATTATTGATGGATAATGAAGGAGAAAGTGATGTTTTGGTTTTAAATTGTAATCTGGGAATTTTTCTCTTAATAAAATCAAATATTCTTCAATTTTTAATTCAAGTAATTTTGGAGTGTCATATTTTATTTTTGTACTGCAAACAATTTGTAAAATTTCTTGCAACAGTAATATTAAATTCAAATGATCATCATTTTCAGGAATTGAAAGTCCGATAATAAGGTTCAAATTTCTTATAAGATTCAACATTTCAGCCGAAGATAAAATGATACAATTATTTTTTAAATTCGATTCTGTGATTTCAGGTGGCTTATTAATATTTTTATTTGCTCCATAATAAAATGCCCGAATTTTGGTGTTCAATTCCTGAAGGTCAAAATATTTGCGTTTATATATAAAGTAGTTTAATACTAAAGCAATATCGTAGCGACATATACCCTCCAGAAAGTCATGCATAACGTCAACGCCCGGATTTTCAGTAACATGAAAACCAGGAATTTTATTAAAAATGCAATCTTCCTTTATTCCTGATAATTGAGGATTATTTTTATTTTTTAGTGATTCATAATTCTGAGGATCACGAAGAATACAGTCACTTTCCTTTAATACATTATTTATGTTTGCGTTATCAATTAAACAAAAACGACAGAACTTTTTTGCCCGAAAACTTTCGACAAAACCAAATATGGAGTGAATCCCAAGATTGTCACCTACGATTAGAGTTAAATCAAAATATACTCTTATATCGCCCGTTTCAAGGTGAATAATAATCCCTTCATCTCGAAGAAATGTCAGTTCTTCTATTACTTTTTGAAAAATTATAGTATTTTTGAATGTACTTCTGTCGAGAGTATTAAACAGGATGAATAAGAAAATATTTTCTACTTTTGACTGAAACTCTGGAGGTAAACATGGTATAGTCACATAAACGGCCCCGCATTTTGAAATACCTTTGTGACTACCGAGAGGATTATTATTCTCGTAGTCATCAAAATAGAGAATTAATGGAAGTACAATTTTATCCTTGAAATGAGCCGCTTTATTTTTCCAAAATGTACTTTGAACAATATTTGATATTGTTTGCGTGCATGAATTTAGAGAATTGATGTAATTCATTGTTTTATTAAAAACGTTTGGTAATTCTAAAAATTTTTGCAAAACTTTTCTAATGGGAATAAACTGGGCAGTAACAGGAACTTCGGTTCGAGTTGCTCCAGTAGGTTTTGCCTTATATTCTGTTCTTTCTCCAATTTTGTAACTAATAGGAGGAATAAATGTGTTGTATGATTGAAATTTTGAAAGACGTTGTTTTTCTGTTTGCATATTTTCGAATGGTTTCAAATGTTTATTAAAAACTTTTTCAATGTTATGCTTATTTAAATGATCGTCATTACATGGAGACATTTTAGAAATTTCACAAAGTTCATTTTTTATAGAAGTTAAAGTTGATTTAAGTAAACCAGATGTTTCAGTAATAATACTTTCAACTCTATTTCTAGGGATATCTGAATGTTCATATAATTTTGCAGCAAATTTAATTGTATCATTTTCACTTTCAACATTTTCAGAAATATCAAACAAGTTTACTTCGCTCTCATTGTTTTTATGTAACCATGACAAACCCTTATCCTCATTATTATCATCTATAAAAGACTCACAATCGCTAGAATCACTAGAATTACAGATAAACATTTTTTCGAGATCAACAAAATCATCATCACTATCAAAGTCTCCAGTATCGTTGTTAAATCTCATTGTTGGTAAATTTTCATCCAGAAGAAGAAATATGTTTTTTTTATCATCATGTTTTCTTTTTATGTGTTTAATAAAAGTATCCACAAGTGAAAATGTTTTTTGACAGTCTGGCTCAGTACAAAAAAATCGTTTTAAATGTGAATGAGTTAAATTTACATGCCGTATAAAATTATTATTATTTTTAAAGGAATGTTTACACTCATCACAGATAATCATCTTAATATTAATTATGTAAAATAAAATAAAATTTTAATAAATTTAAACGTTATTTAAATCAGACGACTCTCGAAAGGCTTGTTCAACAAGACCTAAAAGTTCTCTTACTGTTTTAATCAATGTTTCTCCTGCAATTTTAATTTGATATCCAGCATTTTGAATGAACTGCCAAATTCTAAACGATGGTTTCGGATATTGGCAATCAAGAGTAAAGAATACTTTGAAACATAAATCGAGAGCTTCTAAACAACTCTCCGTCTTATATTTTTGATCATCAACGATGACATAAAATCCCTCGACTTTAACTAAACTTCCAACGACGATTATCAGAGGTTGCAAAGTATATTTTTCTTTAAGAGCTTTGTCTCTTAAACTTTTAATAATGCTCTCCAAATCTTCAATTTTCTAGAGAAAAAATTATCACTTACAATTATAAATACATTTGTAAATTTGTTAATATGAATTAAAAAATTAAAACTTACTTCTATGCGATAAATAAACGATTCTCTAATTTCATATGGTTTGTAAGATTTGATAGGTTCTGATGATTGGTCCTTCTTTCTTTTTCCAGGCTGACCAACTCCGATTAAAAGATGTATCAAGTATAACACTACTGTATCTTGAACTTCTACAATAGAAAAAATTGAAAATTGTTAATCAAGTATTTTATTAAAATTGTTATATTCATCATACCTGATTCTAAAGCTGGTAAGATATTAATAAAAGATAAATCTTCTAAATTTAGTTTTTTTTTACTCTTGGGATTTGCACTTAGTAAGTCAAGCTGTTTAAGAATGACAGATTTTAAAATAGGCCACCTTTTTCGCAGTTCTTCGCCCTTCTCAGGTTTCAAAATATCAAAATCTATAAGATACTAAAAAATAAAATTAACTATAATTAAAAATTTTTAAATTACTAAATACTAAATTTGCTTAATTCTATAAGTAATATTTAATTTATCATACCAACTGTTTTGCTATTTGCACTCTTAAACAAGAAAATTTGTTAATATAATCCGCAATGGAAATTTTATCAACTAATAGCAGAACCATTCGATCATTATGAGTAAGAATCCAATCATCAATAATACTAGTTTCTTCTAAACTAGTCTGTATTCTATTTAGAGCTTCTTTCACTTCTTCATCTACAATAAATATATCATTTTTAATTATCTTTTACTAATTTAAAAATTAATTATTTAAAGGATTGTATAAAAAATCTTACTAGTGCTTTTCGAAATAGACTTCGCTACAATTTTCGATTTTGTCGGCTTTTCCAGGAGATTTTCTTTTCTCAACTTTTCAATTGTATAATTATAATGCGACCATAATGTACCACAGATTTGTACTGCTATGCCATTTTCGGACTTAAATGGACTGAAGTATGTACTTGCGGATTCACCTGCGAAAATTTTCTCAATTGCATCAGCTAAAGCTGCAAACACTTTTGACGAAATCCTAAAAAAAAATTTCAATATTTATTCAAATAAAATTTATTCGATAAATTAATTAAATAGAATGTAATATATTTCTTACTTAAATTCTGTTAGTTTTTCTCCAACTTTTAATGATTTTAATGCATCATCTTTAAATTTCTTAATTATTGTTCTTGTTAAGAGAGCTCGAACATCTTTATTTAAAGATTTGTGATGTTGGTAATGTGTTAATACTAATTTCCCATCTGAGTCGCAATTCAAAAACTCAAGAAGGTTCTACAAGAATTCCAAATTTTGTATGTACAAATAAATAATGTTTTAAAATTTACTGAAAAAATTAAAAATTAAAGTTATTTACATTTTCAAAGGTTTCCTCCTTTTTTCTTTCTGATACTTCTGATAATGTCACCTGATTCGAATTATGTAATGCTGTATTTTGTTCTACAGATTGCTCATTTACATCTAAAATCTAAACAAAATCAATATTTAAAATAATTTTAAAATATTATTGGTTACAAAATAAGCAGAAGAATACCAAAAACAAAAATATTTTTTTCAACTAAAAATAAATGTTTATTTGTAAAATAACATTTTAAAATTCGTTTGCTATTTATTAAATGTAATAAATTATATTTATTTATACTCTCTATTATCGTTATTAATATTATTATTAAAGAACTTACTTCATAGACAATGTTGGAATCCGTTTGCAAGATTGGTAATTGTACTGATTGAAAATCCTCAGTTAAATAGTTCTGCAAAATAAATGATCTACCTCGTTCTATTCAAAATTACAAGATCTTCCTTACTGCTCAAAACAATCTTACCTCCATTGTATTTTCTAGTGACTTATCCATTTCGTTCATATTTTTTAAAACCTGATAAAATATTATTAAAAGTAAAATATTTAATGGATTAAATAGAGGCAATTATATTTTATTTGAAAAAAATAGACATGTTTATTATATTTATGTGACATGTATTATTTGTATCTATAACCTTAAAATGAAACTATACACATTTTCCAATATTTGATGCAATATTATAATTAGTTTTAGAAATTGATACAAAATAAATATTTTATTACTTTATGAAAAGAAGAAAAATAAATATTATAAATATTAAAATTACATTTCAGTAATATTTACAACCGGTACCAACAGCGTGCTCAACATATTCATAACCTCAAAAATATAGACTTATAAGAGAAGAAAAAATGTATTATACTTACTGAAAACTGTCCTTATTCGCTGATACGTCGGCTAAGAATGAATTACAAGTTAAATAAAGCACTTATTTTTAAATTTATAAATTATTTTTGTTTAATCACATTTTAGCAACACTATAACCACAACAGCATAAACGTTTTAGCAGTCCAGTTACGAAAATCATTCGGGTACAGGACTCGGCTAAGTTCGACTAATTCCGTAAGAATTAGTATGTTGAGTTAAGAATTTTTGTTCTAATTTAAATTGCGAAAATTTTAAGTGCATGCCATCATTATGATCATTTCAATAGAAAATATCAATATCTCATATAATATTGAGCTTTATTCACTATTATTACTATCTATAAGTGAAATAAAGGGTTCTTCTTTTACGTAAGTTTAGTACTAATAATTAACATTTTTTATTTTTCTTAAGAAAAATAAGACTATTTCTAACAACGATATTAAATCTTGACACAGGAGGTTGTTAAAAATAAAGTCGATTTATCATATTTTTCTATTCAACTTCTAATTATTATCATGTTATGAAAAAAATCCCTAGATTCTAAAAGTCTTTTAGAAAATAGATAATCGAATATACTTAATATTAGTAGAAAAAGTTTCTCCGTGCAATTTTGGTTGAAATCATATCATTTTTCGATTTTTGGCCAGGTTTTTCGAGAAATCGGCCACTGTGCAGCGAAGAGATTTTACCAAAAAAATTAATAGAGTCAAAAATGATTATTACTTTTATGATTTTTCAGTTTATGAAAAATATTTTATAAAATCAAATTTGAAGTTTAAAAAAGTAGTAAATTTTTTCGCTTAATTTGAACGTTCAGAACTTTAGATACATCGATCTTTTAGATGAAATATAATTCATTAATCCAATAAAAATAAAAAAAGCAATCTAAAGAGAAGTTTCAAATGAATCATCCAAATAGAGGAGTAAATTAAGATATAAAAATATTAACAATCATTTCCCCGGCAATTATCCCTATTTTCTGAAACATCAATATTATCGTGTAAAGAATTTCTATGGTGAGTTTAATTTTTTTTTCCATAGTTCCAACAAGCAATTTGCACTTGAAAATAGTAAAAAAAAAAACATGGAAGACATGACTGCTTTTCATTTAAATGAGATAAAGTTGTTTATATCGGAGGGGTTGTTTGCGTATATATATACGAAGTACATAATGTGTTTTTTTTTATATGGTTGTGAGTCGATATCAGGTAACCGTGCGTTTGATTCTCTATAGAAAAGAGGAGAGAAGGAGAAAAAGAAAAAAAAAGAGAAACAGTCAATAGAGATAGAATGAATAATATACGAGTGAAGAAGCTATGTTGGAAAGAGAAAGAGGTATATAAGCATGGCAATAGCCATGAAGCGACGCGATGGTACACCGTAATGATGATGGCTGCTACGATAGAGCACGATTTGCCGATGGCTATCTAACTTACACACGAGCACATGCTTAATTTTATATATACAGACGTTCTAGCAAAACAGTCGAATATATTTGTATATTCATGAATTTCAGTATATGCTTATCCGTATATATATAAATGTCTGTGTGTATGTGTGTGTGTATACATTAGGTCACACTGCAGTTACTTCGGTCATCAATATTGTACTCTTTTCAGGGGCAAATGATGTTATCTCGCGTTGTATTTTACAAATCCTGCTCTCTAAACAGTTATCGTTACTTCCACATTTTTTTTCCTTTTTTTTTTTTTTATTTCACACTTAATTGTTATGTTTCGTGCGTTTAGAGTATTTTTTTTTTGTATTATTTTTACATATTTAAATTTCTTTCATGTTCAGTGAATTTAGTAAAATTGCTCTTTAATTTTAAACCGGAATTTTTTTTTTTTTTTTTTGCTTAAACCCTCATTTTTGGGTGCAAAGAAGGTAATTGCGTATGGTTTGATTATAATAATTATGTCTGATTAAATTTCTGCCACATAAGAATTGTATTAAATACAGATTTTAGGATAAATAAGAATTGGAGCAGAAAAAAATTAGAATAAAAATAATGTCAAATTGAGATTTGACCAGTTCAAAAATGGTGACAAATATAATGTAATTTTGTAACGTTTTTTGGTTTTTAGGGTTGTTGAATAAATAATAATAATAATTCTCTGGAGTTTAGGCCAGATAAGAATTAGGTCAACTATGACTGTTAAACCAAGAATTAGGTTACAGAAATATACTAGTCCAAATGAGAGTTATCTCAAATGCGATGATTAGGCGAAACAAGGATTAGATAAAATTAAGTTTATGGCAAATATTTGATTAATTACAGATTATCTCAAGTGAGAATTAAGCCACATGATGATTGTGATAATCGAATTTAGGCCAATTAAAATTTTGGTGAAAATTCATGCATCTCAAAAAATTTGGAGGTTGGAGTTTAATGTAATATATTTTTAGATAGCACGTAAGCTTGCAGCAACCTTGCATGGTAAGTTTGCCGCAAGCTTCAAATGTCCCGCCTAACCCAAGCTTACATGGTAAGCTTGCCGAAAGATTGCAGTGTAAGGTTACTGCAAGATTGCACAGTAAGATTATCGCAAGATTGCTCCGTAAGCTTGCACGGTAAGCTTGTCGCAAGATTGCTGCAAGGTTGCCAAATAACCTTGCCAATCAGCACAGAGGTTGCAGCAAACTTCTCTGCTGGTTGGACAAGGTTATTTGGCAACCTTGCATCAACCATGCGACAAGCTTACCGTGCAAGCTTACTGAGCAATCTTGCAATAATCTTACTGTGCAATCTTGCAACAACTTTACACTGCAATTTTTCGAGAAGCTTACCATGCAATCTTGCGATAATCTTACTGTGCAATCTTGCAGTAACCTTACACTGCAATTTTTTGACAAGTTTACCATGCAAGCTTGGGTTAGGTGGGACATTTGAAGCTTGCTGCAATCTTGCGGCAAGTTTGCCATGCAAGGTTGGCAATATTGCGCGGCAAGCTTACCGCAAGGTTGCTGCAAGCTTACCTGCTATCTGGGTAGGTACTTTATTTGTATTCCAAAATACTGATAAATAAAATTTCTGAAATTCTGAACATTCGAATTAACGGAATATTTCTTCTTTAAACATCCACTCTGTACCAGTCTGATAAAATTAGCATGAAAATTGGATACTAAATATGAAAATGCATAAGCAGAAGTGAGTATATTTTCCATATTTATGTTTATGAAAATTTTTTCTTTTTATAATATTGTATTAGTTTTATTATTGGTTACGTATATTTCTGTAATTCACGATTAAATATTTCTATTTCTAGAAGAAGAAAAAATAACCATCCCAATTCAATTAAATATAATGGTTATATTTCGTGATGAAATTAATTAGTTTTTTCTGTAAAATAATTTACTTTTCAATTGAACATCGTTGATATTACTCTATCATAATGTAATTTGATCTTCACAACATTGACCTAGACCTTCTCCTTTGTCGATTAATCGATGAGAAAGCATTAACCTCCTTCCGTTATATTGATTAATTTCACAAAAAGGAAATAAAACAACCCCTCAAGGACATTTAATTTTAAAGTTCGCATTAACAAAATTTTTTTTATATAAAACAAATTATTATGTGGAAAATTTCTTTCTTTTTCTTTACTATGAAAAAATTAGAAAAATAATGAAAAAGAATATTTTCTTTCTTTTTTTTAAGTATTTATTCCAAGTGTTCGGATTGCAACAGGATATAGAATTGACTTGCACTCTTAAGATAGATATCGCAGTATTGGTGATATAGTATGGTATACTTACGCTCTATTTCGTGATTGGTGATCGTAACCAACCGTGCAGAATCGTTTAAATTTGATAGACAATCAAAATATACAGATTGCATGAATTTAACTTTAGAAATTTCGAGTTGATCCGTAACGGAGGAAATTCGATTTTCTCAAATAAACTACTAGTTATTAGATATTTTAATAAAAAATTGTATTTTTTTTCTGTTGCAGATTTTAAATTCAAAAAAAAAAAAAAAAACCCTCAAACGACGGATAACCAGTGGACTCTAGAACAAAAAAAAAAAAAATATCTTTCGCTACGACCAATGAGAAGAGATACAAATTAAAATAAAATACATATTAACTGGCAAATGATCTTTAGCTAAAAAAATGTAGTGTACAAGACCAAAAAAGAATATTATCCTTGTGTGTGAAACTCCTTTTTCATGACTTCGATAGTGTGTTTTTTTTAAACAACATTTTTTTTTTCCTGTAAAAACGACCAATTTACTTCCGAAAAAAAAAATATCAAGAATTAGATAAATAAAATTAAAAAATTTTCGCGCACTTAATGCAATTTGATCAAGTATTTATATAATTATTGTTGAGAGAATTATAAATATATATATATATATATATTAAAAAGAATATAGTTAATAAATTATTAAAGTTTTAATTGAAGAGAAAAGATCTGAAAAGAAAAATGTATAAGGAACCAAATATGTTGGCTGGCAATGGAACAAAAGGAGATGAAATTGATTTGGTCAGTAGATTTCTAGCGCCCCTTTGCTCTCGAGATGAGAATGCAAGAGACATTGCTTTGGCGAATGCAAGAACAACAGTTGAGGGATGGCTCGGTGGAGTTGGTAGTCCCAATCACTGTGGAGATACAACAGAGATGAACGAGCGACCTTGTTCTACTGGTGTCTTCAGGGGACAAGATGGAAGGTAAGAGATTTCAAAATTTATATATATATTATATAAAGGTCAAGTTTCTTGAATTTCCTACAAGATTTACCGCGTAGTTCATTAAATCCTTAGGGATATATTGTATTGTCAACCATTGTGTCTCGTACCAACCCACTGTAAACTTGATGGTATCATTTTGGAATGCAACGTTTTGATTCGATATAAGGTATCAAATTGATCCAAATATTTGGATCATTTTTAAGAAATGATCCAGAATATGGGATTATTTTTTGATACCTGAATTGGTATTATCAAAGTATAACTGGCATGCTCTTATTGACAAGTTTATTAATTAATTTATTCACTGCACTGAATATTCAGATATTAAAAATACTTTTATTATGAATTTTAAGAAAGAGAGAAGCGAAAACTTATAAATTGCGAGCAATTAAATAAGAAAAAATTTATTTCGAAATAAAATGAAATACACTAACCTTTATTTATGTTTATCACATAAGATTTAAGTTAAGTTCACAATCACAACACTTGAAAATTTTTAATTATTTTTATGGTTCAAATAATTATCAATAATTTATTTATTATAAATGAACAAAATTTAAGCAATGCACGCTTGATAAATATTTCTAATGCGTTGTCAATTAATGCAATTAATAATTTCCTATTACACAATATCATAATCGACATATATGACATTTGTAAACAAACAGGGTTGGGAAACATGAGCCCAAAATATGTTCGTCTAAAGCAGAGTTGGGTAGGATTGAAATTATGTCCAACAATAATTTTCAAGAAAGTCTATGCATTTTCCAATTTTTCGCTATGAGCGCTCAATTATCACGAAAAGGTTCTCAACCTGTTTATAAAAGTATAGTTTAGTTTCATTGATTGAAACATTTTTAAATTAACATTAAACATTTACCCAGGTGAAACGATTCTACGGAAACTACTCCACGGAAATTCCACACGGAATTCCGTAAAAATTATATACGGAATTCCGCAAAAATTTCCGCAAAATTTTTGAAAGAAGTTCTTTTGTAATTTTGCGAATTTTTTATAAGAATTACATACATAATCTCTATACAGAATTGCACAAAATTTTTGTTAGAATTGCACAAAATTTTTGTTAGAATTTCACAACTGTACACTGAAAAAAATTTAGCCGAAATCCTCAACTATACCTTTAGTTAACTGACTTGAAATTAGTAAAAGTAACTACTTTTTTGGTTATTTTAACTATGTGCGTGTAGTCAATTTAACTATTTTTTATGGAGTTAAGAATTAGTAGTTAATTGTACTTAACAAAAGTAGTTAAATCAACTTCAAAAATTAGAACAATTACAAAATCTCCTTGACCCAACTAAATTCATAGTTCTTTTAACTACTTTTTAATAGTCGATACAACTTTTTAAATTCAGTTAAGGACCTATTGAACTATGCATGGTAGTTAAAAAGTAGTCAAATCTACTAGTTTTTTTATTGAGTGTATTTTTTACTGATTTTTTTGTAATTTTAAAATAACTGCTGGTGGATACACTGAAAAAAATTAGTCGAGAAATTCAACTACCGATAGTTAGTTGACTGAAAAATAGTAAATTTCTTTTGGAAAACGTTTTATTGTGACCTCTCAAATAAGTTCGACTAGATATTAATTAATCTATCATAAATTCTATATTATATCCACCAGGAACATCATCGCGTCGACTGGTTTTCGTTATAGTAGCAGCAGTTATTTTAAAATCACAAAAAAATCAGCAAAAAATAAAGTTGTGGAATTTTATTGAAAATTTTGTGCAATTCTGTATGGAATTCTTCCAAAAAAATTCGCAAAATTACGAAAGGAATACTTTCAAAATTTTGCGGAATTCCGTATGGAATTTCCGTGGAGTGATTTCCGTAGAATCGTTTCACCTGGGTAATTTTAATATAATATTAAGAGGTGAACGTGAAACAGACTACAGTTTTTCATGTTTTTGATCAAGACAACGTTCGACACTCTTATCAGAATTTCTAATTAATAGAATTTTCATTTGTCTCAACAAAGATCGCAACATTTGAATTTTTTTCATTATTTTTACAGTTCAAATTATTTTTAACAAAACTATTAAAAAATAATTATTCAGTTTTTCCCTATTTCAAAATTACATGTGCGTTAACCTTAAACGTGAAACAGAATCCTACCCAACACTGCTTTGGACGAACATATTTTGGGCTCTTGTTTCCCAACCCTGCTTGTTTACAAATGTCATATATGTCGATTATGATATTGTGTAATAGGAAATTATTAATTGCATTAATTGACAACGCATTAGAAATATTTATCAAGCGTGCATTGCTTAAATTTTGTTCATTTATAATAAATAAATTATTAACAATTATTTGAACCATAAAAATAATTAAAAATTTTCAAGTGTTGGGATTGTGAACTTAACTTAAATCTTATGTGATAAACATAAATAAAGGTTAATGTGTTTCATTTTATTTCGAAATAAATTTTTTCTTATTTAATTGCTCGCAATTTATAAGTTTTCGCTTCACAGAAAAAAACTAAGTTCATTTTTGTTGCAGTTCATTCTGAATTCGGTATCATAATGAACAACAACTAACTTCAAATTACTCAAAATGAACCGGATGCGGATCAAATGTCATGTTATGTTAGTTTCTGTTGAAATTCACGATTTTAAGAATATTATGTTGGCAACAACTGCAACTTATGTATGCAGCGCCACACTGGCGCAATATTCAAATTGAAATAGTAGAAATATTATTTACTTTAATTTAACAATAAATTTGAATAATTAGAGTTAATGTATAATATAAATTATTATTATATATTATATTTATAATATTCATTTACAAACTATTATATGTGTTATATTTTAAAATAGTATAGTATAAATATAATAATAGATAATATATAATAATTGTAAAATATACAAGAATTACAATTAAAAAAATGGTATGGGATAAATTTATTAAAATAAGTTTAAATAAAAATTTATATATATATATATATTTTTTTTTTAATTAATTTTATATGAGAGATAATAATATTTTACAATTATATAATTATAATATATTATATGTATTATAATACATTATATAATTATAAATATATGTTATAACAATCATTACAATCATTTTTGGTTATAGTTTCAAGTTTAAATTTGGCGCCATTATCTTTGGTTTTTAGACAGTGGCGCCGTTAAATTTCATGTTTCGTGTTGCAGGGTTGGTATTTACTTCTGTCAATTCAGAAGTTTCTAACCTAAAAATAATTTAATTTGTTTTCTATAAATTCAATGAATCGGATTTAAGAAACAATGTTTTTTCAATTGTAATCTGTTTGTTCATTGAAAACAATGATTTTGATTAATGGTTTTATGATAAAGTGCTTCTTAATTGACTATAATATTGTCATTTTAACTTGAACTGAAAATGAATCGGATCTAGCTCATTTTTATGCTTTTTGCCTGAAGTTCAAAATGAGTTTCTCGAGGTTCATTTTTGTTGCAGTTCAACTCAGTTTTTTTCTGTGATGCTCTTTCTTAAAATTCCTAATAAAAGTATTTTTAATATCTGAATATTCAGTGCAGTGAATAAATAAATTAATAAACTTGTCAATAAGAGCATGCCAGCCATGACAGTTATACTTTGATACCAATTCAGGTATCAAAAAATGATCCCATATTCTGGATCATTTCTTGAAAATGATCCAAATATTTGGATCAATTTGATACCTTATATAGAATCAAAACGTTGCATGAGTTGATCTTAATTCTTGTATCAATTTGATACACACAAGAAAACTGTGGGTCCACGTTGGCAATTTTATTTTTTTGTCTTAAGTGCTGCAAAAAACTTTTTTGAAAAAAATAAAAAAAAAACCCTTTTTCTTTTAACAGGTACGATATGAATATTGAACGATCGCCAACAAAGGTAGCGCCGAAAAATTTTTATCAACATCCTGAATCACGTGGTACATTCAAAATGGAAGGTTTCTTTCCGCAGAGTATCACTGAAAATTCAATATTTTCAAAAGAAACAATTTCCATAACACCAGAGAGATGTCCATTTGATTCATTTGATTCTGTCGATGGTCGTGTTAATGATTCATTTTATAGAGCGGCAAATGAGGGAGGCCGACGTTACGGTATTGGTGTTGATAGTCATGGTGAAAAGCTCGCTAATTCAAATTCCTCTGACGAAGGCAAGGGATTTAAGCTTGAGGGTGCTCGAGCGCTAAGGTACAGAGAACCAGAGACACGCTTCAGTTCAAGTAGCGAGAGTGAAAGAAGATTTTCATCATCGCCTGAAAAACTTAACGAAACTTGTCACGATGACAAGCAACGTGCAGCAAAATATCCTGTTAAAATTAAAATTTCCAAACAAAAACAACAATTAAATGAAAATTATGATCAAGATTCTGATACAAGAATTTATGGCAAAAGTCCAAAATTTGACGATAATTTCACTAGTTTTCAATCAGTTAGCGAACAAATGAATAATGATAGAAGAAGTTTGAATATTTGTGATGTTGATACAACGACAACGACGACGACGGCGACGAGTGGACGTAAATATCATAATCATCATCATTTACTTCAAAGTGATGATGTTGTTTCATCCCATGAGGATGATGTTCTACGATCACGTGACGGTGTTGTTTTTAATACTTTAGAAGGTTTTGGTAATGAGGATATTGAAAATATGAATTTAGAGCCAATTATGCCATTTTATTTTTTGGAAAATGTCGAGGAAAAAACAAATGAAAGAACACAACATGATTATTTGCGTAATAATGAAGAAAGAAAATTTAGCGCTGGACAAATTAAAAGACCCCTTTCACAAGATGAGGATGTGTCAACTAAAAGTGGACGTGTTCTAGAGACTCCTGAGGTAACACCAAGTGAAGTTGGAAGAATGTTAAATCTTGGAAATGTACTCGATGGTCCTCGTCAAATTCAAGCTAATAAATACTTGAGTATGGTCACTCTTCATTTGCCAGTGATATTGAGACTCAGTGTCAACTGTCCTTTTCGTAATGTCAGAATAAAATGCGCCGAGATACTCGAGATGGTCAAGGTAAGAATCATTATTATTTAATTCTATCGTACATTATATTTATATATATATATATGAGATCTCTTCATGAGACAAGATAATTTTTTTTTCTCAAGTTTTCCAAGGTTTATTTCGTTAAAAAGAAACTTAAAAATTTAAGAGCGTTAATTTTTTTTTTAATTTTCAAATTCTATACCCATTTAAGGACGTTTATTCACGGAAATGCAGACCTCTAGAAAAAAATAATTAATTAACATTTAAATAATTAAAATAACATTATTAATAGTACTTTCTGAAAGATAAGATATCAAGTTTTAAGAAAAAAATTTAAAATCCGCAAAAATTTATTTGTTTATACAATTTGCATAGGATAAAATTTTTTTCTTATATCTCTTCTACAGAATTTTTTGAAAATGATTCGATTTCAATGAAATATGGCTTATTTTCTTCAGAAAATGATTCTCAACAACTTCACAATGGGGATTTTCAAAAGAGCATGCTGTTTAGAAAATACAGCAATTTATTTTATTTATAAATTTATTTATAAATCAGTAATTTCAAAAAGAAATTTTTTTATTTCTTAAACAAAAGTGCAAATAATTTAGTGATTGAAATTCAGATGTAGAGTTTAAAAATTATCTACTGATTTTGATTCAAAAGTTGAGAAAAAAAAGGATATTTCTGAAATTACTGATAAATGGAAATTTTTTCATGTTTTTTTTGCAATAAGTCTGTCATATTTGTTTCTAAAAAAAAATTTTTCGAAAAATATTTCGGTCAGATATTCTATATCATGTTAAATTATGTATGGTTCATAGTACGAAAAAAATTTGCATATTACTATTTGTATATTATTTTAAAATGACAGTAATTCAAATTATTCACCGGAATTTTAATTTTTTAGAATTTATATTTGTACTAATTTTTAATTGATAGAATTTTTATGACGCCAAATTTTAATTTGTCCGAAACTGCAAATAACCGCTACAAACATAACCTACAAAAAGATTTCGGCGCGAATTTTAAAATTAACCAATCATAAATTATCAAGAAAATTGTGATTGGTAAATTTTTAAATTAACACCCAAATATTTCAATCGATTATTTTTACGGTCATTTGCAGTTTCGGACAAATGAAAATTCAGTGTCTTAAAAATTCAGATAAATTAAAATTCCGGTGAATAATTGGAATTACTGTCATTTTAAAAATCGAATAACATTTAAATTTGATTGAATGAGAATTTTATAAAATTAAAATTCGATTATATTAGAATTCTCTTAAATAAAAAGAGGACGCATGAATATGTTCTGAAAATCATTAGTTATAGAATTTTCATTTTATGGAATTTCATTTACCATAATTACTTTTGAGCCAAATTTTTATTTGTTCGAATTAGTATTTTGCAGAATTTTCATCAAAACAATTTTCTATATTACAGAATTTTTATATAACCGAAAATTCACTTCACAGAATTTTTATTTGTCATAATTTTTATTTGCTCGAATTTTCATTTAACATAATAGGCATTTTAAAATATTTCTATTGGATAGAACAAACAATCGACAGAAAGATTTCGGCGCGATTTTTAAAATAAACCAATTAAAAATTATCCATAAAATTGTGATTGGTTGATTTTAAAAATCGCGCCGAAATCTATTGTTTGTTCGGACATTTGCAATTTCGGACAAATGAAAATTCTGTCAATTAGAAATTCTGTTAAATGATTTTTCGGTTAATTAAAAATTCTGTAGTATGAAAAATCGGTTATTGGGAAATTATATCAACTAATAATTCGAATAAATGAAAATTCATCTGAAATTCTACCCAATAAAAATTCTTTAAAATGCCTATTATGTTAAATGAAAATTCGAGCAAATAAAAATTCTGTGAAGTAAATTTTACGCTTATATAAAAATTCTGTAATACAGAAAATTGTTTTGATGAAAATTCTGCAAAATACTAATTCGAACCAATATAAATTCGGCTCTAAAATAATTATGACAAATGAATTTCCATAAAATGAAAATTCTAACTAATTATTTTTAGAACATAATCATGCGTCCTAAAAAAAATGTATTCTTTAAAAATTACATACTTATTGGGAAATGATTATAAAATTGTATAGCCGCCATATTAAATTTTCTTCAAATTTATATGTAAGTTTCTAAAAATAATTTCTTTTTTTTTAACAAAATACTAATATTTCGCCACATAATAGAGATATTTATATTATTTTTTACATCTCAATAAAGTTTTAGAACAATCTATCAAATATTTTCCGAGAAAACCTGTGGAGAATATTTACATATGAAATCACAACAATCGCATAACCTTCAGGCGATGGGTATAATCGCATAATTCAATCAGTTGCAATTCGTGTATTGACCTGTTTAGACGTGCTCAACGTGAATGTCAATTTTGTAATTTTAATAGTAAAATTTTGATTGAGATAAATATATATTTCCTTTCTCGTATTTGATTTAAAATTTTCACATTTATAAATGAATAGTTTTGGGAGTGATTGAATTTTTTAATTGGGGAACTAAAAAAATTTGTTAAACTTTTTTTTTTTTGTTTGTTATTTTAGTAAATTTTTTGTTTCGAAAGTGTTTGAAATTCTTAAAATCGTGATCGCTTGAATCTTTAGAAAAAGTGTTTTACTTCTTAATTATTTAAACGTGATATCGAGAGTGTTCGAAATTTTTTATATCGCGTGTGTTTATGTATGTATTTCCGGTAGATCTTATCGTACGAAATATATAATACATCGATTACAGCTTAAGGTTACATTTATTTATATTTTTTTTTATAAATTATAATTTTACATGCAATTGGAAATCATAAAAAAGTTATTATAATTTAGAAAATAAATTATAAAAAATTGAAGAATATTAATTTTTTTTTTTTTTTACAAAAAAAAAAAAATACAAAATTCGTAAAATTAATTTATTAACATTTTTAAAGGTCAGGGAATTATATTTTGAAAACATTATTACATTTTATATTAAGAATATTTTTTTTTAATAAAATAAATTGTGTTTTTAAAATGCTTTACAAACGATAGTTTTTATTTTTATTAAATCTATGTCAAAAGAAAAGTAAAATATTTTTATATTTGTAAAGTATATATATATAATGTACATTTCAAAGGATTTTGAGGAATTAATTAAAATTCACTCAGACATGTCACAGGTTAAAATACATATATGAAATATTTATTAAATAGAATGGTATTAGTTATTTTTTTTTTAATTTGAAAATGTAGAATTTTATTATTTTGTGATATTAAAAATATTTCCTAAATGGATCATTCCATTATATTTCATTCAGTGGATTTCGTTCTATTTTTAGGATCAAAAATTATTTTTATAAAATAATTAATTACTAATTAGTTATTGGTTAAATCAACAAAAATTTTATTTGGCTTAATTAAATTCTTTTTTCGTCCGAAAAATTTATTAAAATAATCCAAACATTTATAAAGATCAAATAAATATTTATTTGAATGAAACAATAAATTTTTCTTGAAATAACTAAAAAAAAAAAAAATTTGTTAATACAAAAAAATGGTAAAAACTTTTCTCTGATTATAAATGTGTATTATTCGACTCAAATGTAATGTGAAAATTTTTTATTTTATAATTTTTTTTTTTAGGAAAGAGGAGTTCCAGTGCCAAATCCAGTATTTGAGGGTCCCAGTGCCTTCGTCCCAACATCAGAGGTAAGTTTTTTTTTCTTTTGTATTATATATATATATATATATTATTATATGACACTAAAATAATAAATTGTTTGCATAATTAGTACATTGACTTTGGATGAATCATGTAAACATAATAATCGAATTGTTCAAAAGTACAAATTAGTAAAACTGATCAGTATCAAAAAGGTTTCTTGATATATATACTCAGTGTAAATTTTACGTTAGAATAATTGACGAGTATAAGTCGACTAATACTTAACTTAGAAAGAGAGACTATTTATACTCTATAACTAAATTATATAGTATTGTGCCGTTGCCTCAGCATATTTTTTTTTTTTAACTTAATATATGAGAACATTTTTTTTTTTTTCATTTGAGGAATAAACTCAATATTTAATATTTTCCAGAAAGTTTCATATATATATATATTTTTTTTTTTTTAAAAAAAGGATTTCAATTTAAAATTTTATATAGTTTATTGGCGAAGCGAAAAATTTGTTTTCAATTATATTGAAGGTATAGATAACTTTTATAAATTGATTACATTCCTATTTCTATGTTGAATTTTATATATTTTTTATCATATTAAAATGCAATTAATTTTTCGTAAAATTGGCGCTTTTTAATTCTAGTTAATTTTGAGTTGTAAAAAAATTTATTATATTATTTTTGTTAAAATTATGTATTTTTCAGTTGATTTGTAAAAAAAAAAGAATTTACAGAAATTTGTTTTTTTTTTTTTGCAATAAAATTTTCAATAATAAATAATAATATTTACTAATAAATATACAATATTATTTTTTTTTTTAAAGTTAATTGAAATCAACAATTTTGTAAAAGTAATGAAAATAAAAAAGTAAAAAAAAAAATTACGTAATTGTAAATTAAAAATATCAATGAATTATAATTTGGATAATTATGAGAAATATTTTGTAGGCAACTTTACTAAAAGTGTATTTGTGAATATCACTTAAACGAATGCTAAAATTACTACCCAAAAATTTGCATGAAAAACAAAACAATTAGAGACAATTTAAATCTGGGACATTGAAATCACTTTGTATTATGCGACAAACGCGGACACTGGGAAAACTAACAGGAATTAGTTTTTGAACTACTGTTGATAAAGTAGATTTCCTTCGGTTGATATTTGCATATTTTTTTTTCATTTATTGCAAAAATTAACGTTTTGGATTTTTTGATATTGCTTCCTTAATTTACTGTTTTCAATCAAAAATTTTCTATTTTATAAACTTTAGTAAAAAAAAAGTAATTAATTAATAAAATCTTTACAGATTTCTGTCATATCAACAGTAAGTTGTTTATCAACATTCTTTCTTAATAATTTATCATCTGATCATAATGATTAAAATTTCAAATTGTAATTAAAATAATAATTGTCAGTTTTAACAAATTTTTTTTTATATTTTTAGTTTCATTACTTTTAAATAATTAAAAGATATTTTTAAAAAAATTATTTACACTTCATTTAAAGAAAAATGTTTGCTTTCTATTTCATTGCATCATTAATAATGCAATTTTTAATATGTATAAATTTTTTCTTTTCTTTCTTTTTCTCTCTCTCTCTCTCATTTTTCATATTGTGACAGTAAATATTACCAAAATGCAGATAAAATCAACTAACTACTGACTGACAATAAATTCCCGATAAAGTTAATTGAATTTCAGCTTACAATTTTTAAACTGACATCAATTTACGAAAGGTTAACAAACATGCGTTTCCTGACATTTATCAAACAATTTTAATTGAAGAATAGAAAGAACAAAATTGATTTTCTCATTTATATAATGTGTGTCGTGTGATTTATACACAAATTATAATTAAAAATATTTATTTGAACAATTCTTTTTACTATGTTTTCATTGATTTTTTTATCATGTTGGATGGCATTTAATTATTAATTATGATAAAGAAAATTTTTTAAACGAAGTTGAAAAGTTGATTGAAAAGTTAATTAAATTAATTTTTTTAACAGTTGAAAATTAATATTTTATAAAATTAAATTTGAAGAGATTTTACTCGCTGATATAACCTCATAAGTTGTAAAAATTTATTTTAAATAACAAATAAAAATGTTTAAATATATTTTTGATGAATTTTCATTTTTCGAATTAGCATTTGAGAGAATTTCATTTTAAACGAATTTTTATTAATGTGAAAAGCACAATTTTGAATATTTTTTAAAAAAACCTTTTGGAAAATGTTCAGAATAACATAGACTCTGTCTGTTATGTGCGGAAAATTCAAAATTTTGCGTTTAAAACGTTTTTTAAACAATGTTAAGGTCACAAATCATGGCGCATGACACGCAAACTTCTCAGGTATGTGAAAAGCACAATTTTGAATATTTTTTAAAAAAACCTTTTGGAAAATATTCAGAATAACACAGACTCTGTCTGTTATGTGCGAAAAATTCAAAATTTTGCGTTTAAAACGTTTTTTAAACAATGCCTACATATAAGCAATTCGTGTATTTTTCCTTACTTGTGACAACCAACTTAAACATTGTTTAAAAAACGTTTTATACGCAAATTTTTGAATTTTTCGCACATAACAGACATAGTCTATGTTTCTCTGAACATTTTCCAAAAGGTTTTTTTAAAAAATATTCAAAATTGTGTTTTTCACATACCTGAGAAGTTTGCGTGTCATGCGCCATGATTTGTGACCTTAACATTGTTTAAAAAACGTTTTAAACGCAAAATTTTGAATTTTCCGCACATAACAGACAGAGTCTATGTTATTCTGAACATTTTCCAAAAGGTTTTTTTAAAAAATATTCAAAATTGTGCTTTTCACATACCTGAGAAGTTTGCGTGTCATGCGCCATGATTTGTGACGTCACGAAGGTTCAAATGCTCTTAAGAGAATAATTCTAATTTGACCAAATTTTACTTTTTTGTAAAATTTTAATTGATTCCCATTTTCAAATGCCAAAATTTCTTATTTACCAAATCTTTATTTCTCCGAATTTTTATTTAATAAAATTTTTAAAACGCCGAATTTGTATTTTGACCTAAACTGAAAATGACCGAATAAACATAACCTACAAAAAGATTTCGGCGCGAAATTTAAAATTAACCAATCAGAAATTATTGAGAAAATTGTAATTTGTTAATTTTAAAATTAGCGCCAAAATCTTTTTATATAGGTTATGTTTGTTCGGTCATTTGTATTTTCGGACAAAATTTTGCAAATTCGGCGTTTTAACAATTCTATCAAATAACAATTCGTACAAATAAAAAATTGCACGAATTGAGATTCGATGAATAGAAAATTCTAGTATTTAAAAATTCGAAGCTATTAAAATTCTATAAAATTAGAATTCTGCTAAATTAAAATTCATTTAAATTAGAATTCTTTTAAATAAAAAGTTTTTGTAAAAAGAAATTTTCTAAAATAAAATTTCTACCAAATTAAAAATTTGCTACTTGAAAATTCTGTAAAGTAAAAATTCGTTTAAAAATTAATTCTGTCAAATGCTAATTTGAAAAATGAAAATTATTATTATTATTAAAATTATTATTTTTATAGGATAATCATGCGCTTCATTTTTAGTTTGAGGTTATGTCAAAGTATTAAATAAATTTTTTCTGGTTTTTGAAAAATTAAATTAATATAAATATAATAATAATAATAATAAAAATCTGCATCATTAAAAAAATATGCTTTTTCTTTGAAATTGAAAGCTTTCTTAAGAGAAAATTATTTTGCAGCATAATTAAATGCTGTCTTACATTTATACTCTTAAGTATTTTTTCTTTGATGAGATGAAAGAGATTCTCATCTATATAGCGCAACGAGAAGAGTTTCCGTTTAATCCAACATGGTAAATGTAAGGATTTTCAATATTCAATTTCAAGAAACGCTATTAAATCGAGATGCATCTTTTGCATTTTACATTTCTCTTATTTATATATTATTATTAAAAAAAAGAGAGAGAGTAGAAACATTCTATATAAATGAAAAGAAAAAATACTCTTTTTATTGACATTATCTGTGAAGTGATAGTGAAAAACAAGTTTTTAATATATAAATGTTTTGTAACTGTTTTTCAAGTTTGTCATTTATCACACTTGTGTTACGTGTTGTAAATATAAAACAACTTCGCTCTATATAAGAACTTGTTCGAAAAGCAATTGGTATTATCCAATTAAAGAATTAACTATCTAACAATATCAATTTAGTGTGTAATAAATTATGTGTACTTTACTATATATATATATATATATAATATAGTGCAAATGCTCAAGTGTGCGAATAAAATATATCGTTCAATTTATTATATATAGACAGGTAAGTGTATTTTATTATTATTATTACTAATAATAATATTTATTCAATAAATCAGTAATTTCAAAAAGAAATTTTTTTATTTCTTAAAAAAAAGTGCAAATAATTTAGTGATTGAAATTCAGATGTAGAGTTTAAAAATTATGTACTGATTTTGATTTACAAGTTGTGAAAAAAAGGATATTTTTGAAATTACTGATAAATGGAAATTTTTTCATGTTTTTTTTTGCAATAAGTCTGTCATATCTGTTTCTAAAAAAAAAATTTCGAAGAATATTTCGGTCAGATATTCAATATAATGTTAAATTATGTATGGTTCATAGTATGAAAAAAATTTACATATTACTATTTGTATATTATTTTAAAATGACAGTAATTCAAATTATTCGCCGGAATTTTAATTTTTTAGAATTTATATTTGTACTAATTTTTAATTGATAGAATTTTTAAGACGCCAAATTTTAATTTGTCCGAAACTGCAAATAACCGCTACAAACATAACCTACAAAAAGATTTCGGCGCGAATTTTAAAATTAACCAATCAAAAATTATCAAGAAAATCGTGATTGGTAAATTTTTAAATTAATACCCGCAAATATTTCAATCGATTATTTTTACGGTCATTTGCAGTTTCGGACAAATGAAAATTCAGCGTCTTAAAAATTCGGATAAATTAAAATTCCGGTGAATAATTGGAATTACT